GGAAAACCGGATTTTTTCATCGTGATAGGCAGTAATAGTTATATTTATATGGTCAGGTATTTGCCAGCTATAGGAGAGCTCACTGTCGTATACATACATATTCTTTGTTTCTTTATATTTCTTTAAGAATGTGAGATTTTCAAACAAAATAATAGTACTGGTAAATTTACCTCAAGTGACACTATTAATAATTTTGGGAAATACGTAATACTTTAGAAAAACAACTATTTAAAACTGGTTTAATAAAGAAAGATGTCAGTTTAATAACAGGTTTTACATAGGTATGGTAGGTCCAAGAGGGACGATCTCTATATTTACATCATATTATTATACTTACAGATAAGAATTCGAAAATTCACGATAGGAATATGTTACTCATACTACTAGGTACCTATACTGATTCAATTTTGTTTTTAGATTTTGGACTATTGTGGAGCGTGATCCTTAGATTAGCTAAGTACTTTGGATTATAGCAAGTTCTCTTGTTTCCAAAAGCCTTTTTTGGTAATGTTTGTTATTAATTATTCATTGCAATATTTTTATGGAACGTTCTGTTCTGTTCCCCGGATCTCAGGGGTTCAAGTCCTATTTGCTTAGTTTGTTAGGTCTTATTACTCCTAGATACAGGATCGTCCCAGATTTTGAGACAGGACAAATGTTTTAACAAACGAAAATTGTACCTTATTTACTTAAAATTATATATATCAAAGTTGTGTTTTTGCTCAATAAACAATAGTGTTTAACGGCTTACTTACGTAACCGTTTGACAAGATATGTCGACTACTTTCAAGCCACGCCAGGGTCTCATAGGGTCGAACGACGACGACGCGGCGAACGTCTTCCATTCAATTTATGGTTTTTCTAAGATTTACTTCTGAGTTTATTTCGATTCTATGTTTCTCTGTTCTTGGTGCTCAGTTATGAAATGCAAAATCATCTAGCTTTATTTTAACATTAAGATGTAAAAATACTTTTTATCATTCAGCTAGATAACGCGTTCCAAAGCGTAGATTCCTACAGATAGGAACGAGCAACTAATATTCATATAAGTTTACATTACGCAAACTTTGCTCTCCACTGTGTAAATATATATATAGCTACATATATATATATTTATATAAACGTGATTATACACAAACACGTGCTGCCTTATCTGCAAAATAACTCTTCGACAGCAACAATTATTTACAAACAATTATCGACTTTACTCCATTCATCAATAAAGTTCAAGCTTCAAACATTAAATTTTTTCCTGTGCTCCCGATATATTTGTTTGGGTTCCAATTTAGACTTTATTTGTTTGGGGTTAAGATTTTGTTTTGTTTGTATACTTGTAGCAAGTTTGTTCGGATAGGTTAGTGGCACTCTTGGATCTGCTAATTGATCTGTTGTGGCCATTAAAGAGGCGACTGGTTCTATTAGCAATTATGTAAATAATGAGGCGAGTGGCTACTAAAGATTTATTGGTTTTTAAAGGCCAAATTTAATAGTTCCTATAACCTCTCTTTATTTTTTTAGATATTTCCTCTTAATGAACATTTTGCCAATTCCAAATGCGATCATTTTTCAGAATAAAAGTTATAAACTTTTTTAAAGGTCACATTTATAATCGTCATAATCATCAGCTGTTAGAGATAAGTCATTTTCCACTATCACGCTACCTTCATTCAAAAATTACATCAGAAATGGTACAGCAGTTTCGGTGGTAACAACACGACACTACAGTTCTTTTAATAGTTTTTATTAGGCCAATTGACCATTGAGCCATCTCAATATGAACGCTTTTGTTTTTATAATTCTACGCCGGTCATAAGAAAGTGAAAGCCATACTGTTATTAGCTATAACATACTGTTATTCTCTCGAACGTTCTATTTTTAACTGAGTATAAAAAGTAGGTTATCTTTTTTGTGTGTAATATGTTATTAGTGCTGCTAATTGTTCGCACATGTTTGTCCTTCTGGAAGTTCTGGGGTTTTTATCGACGGCGTGAAACAATCACAGCGTTGTATTTCATCGTGTGAGTGAGGTTAGGTCCAATCCTTCCCCTCCACCAATCTTCAAATCCCTTATGCCTAAAAGGTCGGCAACGCACTCGTAACTCCTCTGTTGCAGGTGTCCATGGGCAGCGCTGATGCTTACCATCAGGTAATCCGTCTGCTCGTTTGCCAACCTATTACATAAAAAAAATGTTTTTTTTTTTATAGCGAGCTGTTGGTTTTGTTTTGTTACTATTTGCAACTGGTTTATGATGCCCAACTTCAAATATCGAAATCATTGAATGGGTGGGATCGAAGGGAGTGTCGTTCTCCCATTAACTACATTATTGCGCGTTGTAACCTTTTTTTGTCGTCAGGGGAAAATGACCTCTCCCGACCTCTACGTGCTGTACGCTCGGGTGCAGGTTGCAACCTTGGCTTCCAACATGCACCCTAAATGCAGCTTTTTGTTATTATCCATTGTGAATTTCGAAATCCGTAACCAAGTGTTAAGCGGTTAAAAGTCCAACCAAAAGACCGACAGGGTTTTCGAAAATAGAATTTGAATTCGACATGCCGTTTTGTTGATTAAGTGAGTTCACCAAAACTAACGAATTATTCGACTAGGCATCTAACTATCGTTAATTTTTGACTTAGTATAATTAGATACATACAATCAAGAAGAAAATTTTCTTCATGCATACAATACATGAACATTTATTCAAAAACAGAACATTTCTGTGCTGTCAATTGTGTAGCAAAAGTTTCGTTAACTTAATTATTAGGGGTTTTCTAGCTTGTTATATCAAAACAATGCGATCTCTATGTCTCTTATGCAAATCAACATTGCTAATGAAAACTCAAACATATACGGTCAAGGTTAATGCGGTCATTAGAGTAATTCCTTAAACCTTTTCCATAACGAACTGTTAAGAACTGTTTGTTTGCGTTTTGACGTGTTTAACTTTACTTAACATAGTTTGTTAGAGCCATGCTTCGGCAAGGATGCGAAGTGATACCACGGCCACTCACTCACCCCGCGAAACAAACGCAGGCGTTTTTTCACGCCTGTTTTTTTGTCAGCCCGTGGTATCACTCCGGTAGATCCCGTCCATACGTGCCGAAGCAAGGCTCGGCACTTTGTCGTTTGTAAGATAAGTTAAAAAAATCTATTAAAAATTGAGTTGAATTGAACATCCCATGTTTACATAAAGAATATTTATGTAGGTAGACTAGGTAGGTAAGTTGTTCAAAACATTGGACCCTAACTGGTCATCATCGGGCCATCATCGTCAGACCACCAAAACATCAGCAGCATCGGGGAAACTCACCAAAAATAACAAACGACAACTCTTCTTACACGGAGAAGGGTTAAAAAGTCACATTGGTACCTACTTCTCAGGTTTCGAACCTCCGGGCCACCACGACTACCAAAACAACTTTATGTTTAAAAGAAGAAGTTATAATAAAAAAAAACACTTTCCTTCGACCTCGTGTAAAATTATGCATACTGGCTACTCGTATGAGCGTGCCGGCTCAGGTCGTTGAACCCGATCTGTGATGTAATGCAACACAGTGGAAAAGTACTGAGGGCTGTCCTTGACGAAGGTACAGTGCGCTGCAATAAATACTGCACAATGCACATCGGTTTTTGAAAATTTGCGTATACTATAGAGGTAGTTATATTTGTTTAAGGTTTACAGCATGCTTTTCCATTACAAGTTTTAAATGATCTTAATTTAAATTTAAATTCAGAACCGAAATCTCATCGACTCGAAAATTATTAATCTGAATCTAAAGCACGTTTTGTAAAGTACTTGCTTTTCACCTGATTTTCTGCTGCTATTGGTTATAACAGCGTGATCTGTTATGTTATAGCCTATTACCATGAGAAAGTGAATCAACATTGATTGTTTTTTTCGAACTACGTAGTAGTTCTAGAAATTAGCGCGTTTAAACAAATAAATGAATCATCAGCCTTATAATATTTGATTTGCATAATTTGGACTGCACGGCTGGGTAACTGGCTGCTGTCTAACGTGTCGCGGGTTCGATTCCCGCACGGAACAAAGCTTTGTGTGATCCACAAATTGTTGTTTCGGGTCTGGATGGTTTGTGTATGTGAATTTGTATGTTTGTAAACGTTTGTAAACGCACTCACGACACGGAGAGACGGGAAAAAATAACACAGCGGAGTATTTTTTTAAAAAAGCTTCATAACTTTAGAAAAGACTGTTTACAAGTTACAACGTATTTTCTTTATAAATATGTGATGTAGTAGTTTCCACAAATATTTATCGCCGGGTACTGTAGGTACTGTAATTCTGCACACGTAGACACGGACTCAACAGGTACAGCTACTACAGGTTTTACCGTACCTACCTTCTTGTTTATTTTCATTTAAGGCTGATATTTCAATAGTCAGATAAATGTCATCTGAGGAATAAAATTGTTGCTGTCACCGTCTTATACAAACATGAATGACGCGACAGCATTATACCTAATTATTCCCCAGGTAACTATTATCTAACCATTGATAAATCAGCCGTTAGTGATACGGTCATGTTTTATTCTAAATAACAAGCCCGTATTAATATTATTAATACAAACAATCAGTCTAAAAGTTGGTGGTTGGTGGCATATAAATTGACGTGCAAAAGTGCCGTTTTATGGCCTATTTGCAAAAATAAATTCATTGTTTCATTTAATATCTATCGTATGATCATTTGTTTAGTGATTCTTGAGTTAGAACAGACAGAGAAGACTGTTGATTTTTGTGTGATGTGCTTTGAGTATGAGGATAGTTAATAGATGTGTACATTGTACATACATACATCATTTCTTTTCAATCACTCTATCTATAAAAACCGCATCAAAAAGCGTCGCGTAGTTTTAGAGATTTAAGCATACATAGGGACATAGGGACAGAGAAAGCGACTTTGTTTTATACTATGTAGTCAGTTATATACTAAGTTATGTGTAATAAATAGCTTCTTTTAATATATTGTTTTCCTCTTTTGCAGGACCTAAGTTCTCGTGAGCTGGGACATCTATAGGTAAGTTGAAATAGCTAATTATTATTTTCCCCTACTTTATGTGAATTAATTTCTTTCACTGCAAAATAATATTAAATGTCTTTGAAATTAAATAAAGTGTTAATTGCAGCGATTTGAATATTTTTGATATTTTTTATGAAAATACGATATTGTAGTACCTACGATATATTAAAAAATATATATATTGTATCACAATAATGATTTAATTTAAAAATATAATACAATTAAAATTTAATTTAACATTAATATTTTGATTTAAAATTATGTATGTCCATACTAACAGACTTTTTCGCGATAGACATAATAAAAAATACAAGTTTTTATAAGTATAACTTTTAGAAAAACCAATAAAAATAACTGAGTGACACGTGTATGAGTTTAAGTGAAAGATTTACCAAGAAATGGCATTGGAGGACAAAAAATAATAATAAAATGAAGTCGGTTAAATAATACATTATACATGGAACGTCCTTACGTTATTTATAATTGAGGTAAATCTATAAATATGGATGAGTTCAGCAAAAGACATGTATACGAACTGTTTATGTTTCCTCTTGAGGATAAAACTGAACTTTATTCCTTTCGATATTTAGGTACTTACCTAAGTTATGGTAAAAAATGGCGGTTATGGCAATTTTTCCCTGACTTCTCGGCTAGTGCAAACTTTCATTTGTCTAATAAAGAAAAACTAATTGGAGACAGATTTTCAGATAAGTAGATATACCTTTGAGCTTTGATAACTATGATAGATCATGTTAGAGAAAGGTCCTAGTAGACACGAGATGAATAAGCCCATGTGCCCAAAGACCCTAGCTTAGGACAATGACAGGATGAAGAAGAAGGTTTCTTTATGGATGTAGAAGTTTCTCTAACAATAGTATTTAAAACTCCATGTTGAATTATCTAGACTTTTGTACATGATATTACATAAATCACAAAAAGACCAGCAGTTCCATTATTAGCAGTAAAGTTAGATGAGATAATTTAATGGTTATTCAGTATATGATATTAGTATGTAGGTGTATATGGGCGCAGAGAAGCATTTAATCAAAATGTATTTGAGAATGTTATAACTTTAAGGTAGAATTCACTATTTTTATCGGTTAATTTTTAATGTTAAATAGTTATCCGAACATGAGGTCATGTTAATTATTTACAATTCCATTAATAATTATTTAATTAATTGCTATTTATTTAATTTTTGATTTTTCTATAAAATAATTAAATATTTGCTATCTCATGATCGGAAGTGACGTCACTCAGTTGTCACTCAGTTGTGATATAAAAAGGCGGTGATTGTTATAACAGCATTCATTCGTTGACGAGTCGCCGGTGAGTAAACATTGTTTTGTAATTGTGTGTGCATCTGTGAAATATTGTAATCATTTATAATAAAAAGTTATTGTGATCAATTTTTGTGGATTATTATTATTATTTCACACACGCCGTTCTAAAAATGGCCTCTCAACATCCAAGCGGAGACAATACGCCGACAGCAGCGGTGGGATCACAATCGCCTCTTTTATGCACGTCAGGCTCTCAACAAAGACCAGAGCCAACCTTCACAATGCGAGAGGTTATGGATTTGGTATCGACAATCACCAAAAATGCGGCGACAAGTGCTGTGACTGCTGCGCTATCTGCCAGTTCCACACCCACTATAACAATACAGGAAAGAGGCAATTTTTATCTACCACCATTTGATCCGGATGTGCGATCTCATGACATTCGAGACTGGTGCGCAAATGTTGATGAAAACATTGCGGCATTTAACATACCTCAGCAAGAAGCCAGAATGAAAGCTATTCTTCAGTTAAAAGGCCGGGCTAAGACCTGGGCTGATACATGGTCCCTTACATCAACAACATGGCAACAAGTTAAAGAGGACCTCATTCGCACTTTTGGGAAGGAGTTTCGCTATGCCGACGATGTACAGAAATGGCGGAACTACACATCTGATCAAGCCAACAGCTACGCTGAGTACGCTACGACAGGGTGGACTCTGTTTAAACGCGTGAGACCAGAAGCAGAGGATTCAGAGATCATCGACGCCTTGATAACAGGTATTTATCCTGAATTTATTAGGTCGGAATTGTTAAGAAACACGCCAGGATCATTGCCCAGTTTGGTATCTGTTCTTAAAACTTTCCGCAAACGTAAAATTGAGTCAAATTCTGAGTCTAGTAATAAGCAGTATAAAAAACCACGTGTTTTAGAAAATTCTACTAAGATGCCAATTTGTTGTTTCAACTGCAACAAGCCCGGTCACATTGCGCGAGATTGTAAGGCAAAAACTTCCCTTACTCAATCTGTAGAGCCCAGTATTTCTAATACTCAAAAACCTTCAAGTACCACAAAATCTGTAGAGTGTCACTACTGTCATAGGAAAGGTCATATCGAAAAGAATTGTTTTAAGAAACAAAATGATGAACGCCAAAAATTAACTAATAATCAATCCATAAATTTTTGTACTTCTCGAGACCGTAGTTTAATCAATATCAAAATAGGTGGTAAACTCTATAAATGCCTATTTGATACCGGTGCAGACTGCTCTTTAATCAGAAATAAACTCGCTACATCTATTCCGGGAAAAAGAAATAGTGTGAATGTCACATTTATGGGTATAGGCGGTTGTCCGGTAATCTCAACACAAAGCATTATTACTCCAGTGGAAATCGATGACGTACTAATCGAGATAGAATTTTATGTAGTGGGTGACGCACAAACCCAGTTCGATATCATGATTGGCTTTGATATTGTTAAAATCCCAGGTCTCAGTGTAACAATTAGCAAGGAAGGAATTTCTGTAAATCGTAATTTGATAATAAATCAATGCAGTAATACAGCTATTAACCATACGTCTTTTGATATTAACAAGGACATCCAGAATCGAGAACTACTTAAAAAGTTACGAGACATTCTAAATAGTTTCAAATCCAGTTTCACGATAGGTAATAGGGTTTCGGAAATTAAAACCGGTGAACTAACTATAAAACTCAAAAATCCTGATAAAATAGTTCAACGTCGGCCCTATCGACTGTCACCCTTAGAACGTGAAAATGTTAAACGGATCATAAACGACTTAAAGGAAAACAATATTATTCGTGATAGTTCTTCTCCTTTTAGTAGCCCTATACTACTGGTAAAGAAAAAGGATGGCTCTGACCGCCTCTGCGTCGATTATAGGGAGCTAAATGCAAATACAATCAGAGACAACTATCCCTTACCACTTATTGCCGATCAAATCGACAAATTAGGCAAGGCGCGGTTCGTCACAGATGGCGCTAGTGCCACGAACAACATTAGCTCCGTGTATAAAAATTCTTAAAAATAGTTTATTGAAGTTATAAGTGTTAAAAAGTAGTGTAACAGTTAGATATAACTATGATACAGATGCGATAATGTTATCTAGTGATTATAAAACGAATAACAAAATTTATTCAACCCAAATAGTGAAACGCTTGTATAAACAATAAAAACTACAAAAAACCCTAAAAAATAGTGTTTGTGCTCAAATCTGTGTCTAAAATATCATAGTACTACAATTACTACAACCAAAAACTAAATAAAAAAGTGATTTTAACCAGTGAACACAAAAAATCTCAAATTGACTGTAAATTCAAAAAAAAAAACGAAACTTAAAATAACCGCCTTTTTGAAAAAGCAAATAATTTATCTACAATAGTGAAAGCCTATTTCACTTGCACTTTAAATTGTACTGGTGGCCGTGTTACGACAGACGCTTCTTTTTGTGCGCATACAGAGCCACCGTGGTTGCGAGTTCGATCCCAGCCTAAGCACAAGTCACTTTTTCATCATTAAATATGGATTTTCTAAGTAATATAACGTTTCGAAAGAAAACTCGACGGTCACAATCACCTTCAATCACAAATAAAAGTAAATTTGAAGATTCCAATATTAGTTCCGATAATTCTATACTAGATGGCACCACTAGTAGTTTACCATGCATGTCAGAGGAAGAATGTAATCTACAACTACAACTAAGAGAGCTCAGAAATGAAATACTAATTCTAAAAAATGAATTATCCGAAGCGCAAGGAGCAATAAAGCACCTAGCTTTAGAAAACAGTGAATTAAAAAGCACCATATCAGATATGGGTCAAAAATGTGGAAATAACAGTCATAAACCCATATCGACAGAGAAAATTACACAGACAATACCAACAGAAGTCAATCTAATGGACGAGAAAACTTCAACGCCATCCCCACCAGAAGAGAAACAGTCAAAATCACCTTATATTTCACCAAGTTCACAACAATTTAAAGAACAACATAATCATATAAATAGAATGTGTATTGTAAGCAGCAATAAAAAGAACAAGATATTACAAATAGCGGAAAACACTATTGAAAACTTTGAATTTTGTCATTAATAATAATAATATATTTATTTGCATAAAATGTGGTACAAGAGTTGGTTTAATATATGTTTTAGAGCTAGACACATTCCGCAGTTATAAAACAGCATGCAAATGTTCAAGTAAAATGCACATTATTGTTTTACATCATTACAATACATTGGTACAAAACGTTCGACATCTTACAGTAAAATACAGAAACACAAAAGTAAAATACAGGTAGGTAAATAACAATTACAATGCATTCCTAAAATGGTAAGACTGAGAAGAATACTTTTTAGGAACTCATCAACCGAATAAAAACATTCTTCTATCAACCAATTTTTTAGAGTCTTGCAGAACTTCTGATAGGGCAGATCGACTATGTTCTGAGGCAGTGAGTTATAAATTAAAGGCGCCATGTACACACAACTTCGTCTACACATCTCAAGTCGCGGAGCAGGCATTTTTAAATACGAATGAGTGACTTTGCGCTTGTTTGTATTGTTTTTATTTTTAAATAATTTAATATTGGACTTTACAAATTTAGCCACTTCATAAATATAAATGTTAGGGACAGTTAATATTTTTTCTGATGTGAAAATAGGTCTACAAGAGTCCGACCATTTGACATTAAAAATTGCGCGAACACATTTCTTCTGCGCAATAAATACCCGTGCTAAATCTGATGTATATCCCCAAACCACAATCCCATATCGTATAACGGAGCATACATAGGCATGGTAAACCATTAACGATGTGTGTCTTGAACAAGAGTCTTTAATTCTTTTTATAGCAAAGACAGATTTATTAATTTTGTTGCATACGGTATCGATATGATCTTTCCATGTAAGATGTTCATCTACTGTAATACCTAAAAACTTAACGTTATGGACTTGTTCGATGGGTGTGTTATTACAGATAATGTCTAGTTGCTTACATTTGCTTTTATAAGATCTGAATTTAATAATTTTTGTTTTGTCTAAATTTATTTTTAATGCATTGATATCAAGCCATTTAGTAATTTCTTTTAGTGTTTGATGTATCTCGGCTATATAATTTTTTTCATCTTTGCAACTTAATATTACAGATGTATCATCAGCAAATAGGACGCATTCATGATTGTGGACTACTTGAGGAAAATCATTTACATAAATTAGAAATAGTAGGGGACCTAGAATACTCCCCTGGGGAACTCCAAAGTAATTGAATCTGGGACTGGAATCATGGCTCTCAAGAAAATTGGTTTTACTATTAAATTTAGTTATTCTTGTTATTTGTGTTCTACCATTTAGGTATGATTTGAACCAATCTAAAGCTATTCCCCTTATGCCATATTTATCTAATTTGTTTATGAGTCTAGTATGATCAACAACATCAAAGGCTTTACTTAAATCTAGAAAGAGTACAATAGGAGATATTTTAATATTTATGTTGTCCATTATTGAATTAATTAGACTAAATGCTGCCAGCTGAGTGGACTTACCTTTTCGAAAACCAAACTGTTCGTTGCTGAGGACATTATTTTTATTTAAAAAATTTAGTGTTCTCTTATAAATAACCTTTTCAAAAATTTTAGAGATAATGGATATCAGTGCGATAGGGCGATAATTATTTTTATCGGTTTTGGAATTCTTTTTATGTAAAGGTTTGATTATTGAAACCTTCATTTTATCTGGGAAACAGCCTTGTTCTAGCGACAGGTTAATGATGTAAGATAAGGGATGTGCAATGGACTGTGCTGTAAGTTTAATAAGATCTGTTGTGATATTGTCATAGCCAGATGATTTCGTATTTTTCAAGGACTTGATTATATGATAAATTTCTAATGGATTAGATGGCTCAAGAAAAATGCTGTGATTACTTGTGTTAATATTAGATATACCATTCTGTTCAGTACTAATATTCTTTTCAACAATATCTATAAAAAAGTTATTAAATATGTTAGCAATGTCTGAACCAGATGTATTTAGGACATTGCTATCGTCAATAAGCCCTTCAATGTAATCCCTTGAGGTTTCATGGCCAGTAGTACGTTTTACCACATCCCATGTAGCTTTGCCTTTATTGTTGGAGTTATTTATATGTTTTTGATTATTCAACGATTGTAAATTATTTATACATTTTTTTAGAACATTAGAGTATTTTTTAAATATTTGTTTGTTTTCATCTGTTCTATTATGATAATACCTGTATCTTAACAACCTTTTTGTTTTAGCACTTAACTTAAGTCCTTTTGAGATCCATTTCAATTTAGAAGTTTTATGTTTAACCTTAACCTTAATATTCGGAAAGCATAGTTTATAAAACAATGTAAATAATTCATGGAAACTATCAAAAGCGTCGTTAGCTTGGTGAAAGTCATAGACTTCGGAAAAGGATAAGTTGCTAATATAGTCTACAAATTTTGTCATGTTTTCTTTGCTGAGATCATGCTTATCAACGAAGTAATAATTTGTTGTACTCTTTTTTTGGTATTTAAATTCTATGACTTGAGCTGTGTTATGATCAGATAAGCAAAGACTATGTGTGTTGCCAACTGCTCTCGGAATATTACTTACTATATTATCGATGCAAGTATTTAGCCTAGTGGGAGTGTGGATATGGCGTTGCATTCCATAGTTTGAGATCAGTTCATCAAAAGTAGTAGAATTTTTATCTTTCTGTAGGAAATTTATATTAAAATCACCGGCTATCACAATTCGGCTTTTTCTGTGTTCCAATTTACGCAGCATGTTATCGAATTTTTCAAAGAAAATATTTAAATTTGAATTTGGGGTCCTATACACACAAAGGACAATTAGACGTAATTGTTTTATTTCTGTGCCACAGACTTCAAAATGTTTATCTAAGCTCATGCCCTTAATTTCCTTAAGTTCAGTACATTGAAATATATTTTTACAAAGTATACAAGTTCCGCCGCGACTTTTATCTGGGCGTGAGTAAATAGCGCACATTCGATAATTATTTAAGATCATATAATTATCGTAACCTTTTTTTATAAAATGTTCACTAAGACACACTACATCAACGTTTGTTCCTGTCTCACACATATCTTGAATAGCAAGTTCTAAATCGTGAATTTTATTTAATGCTCCAGCAATGTTTTGGTGGAGAATAGTAAAAGTATTCGTACTGTCATCGTTAGTCACGAAATAAATTATTCTTAGCGGTATCGGTATCGGGAGTTTGCAAGAGAGGTTTGTTCGTTTTATCAATAGCTTTAAAATAGTAAGGGATTGTGCCTTTTTGTGGTTGAATTTTTTGGTTACCTATGTGGGGTGGACTTTGAAGGTTTAAAAGTATTCCATTAAATCTTTTTGACTTTCTTACATTTGGAGCTAGTTTGACAATTCTTTCGTTGAAGGATAGAAATCTTTTGTTATATTGATCTGTATTAACTTTGTGTATTATTTGATTAACAATATTGAAGTTGTTTTGGGCTTCAATGAAAGAAATGTTTTTAAAGTTTTGAGTTAGAAGTTTAAGATTGTAATTTAATTTACCTTCATTTAGAGATGCATTGTAGAGCACGTTTACTATGTATACGTTACACTTGTTTAAAGTTTTAAGCGCCATTGACATTTCCATAAGAAATTTAAACGGGTTAGAGTCATTACTTCCGGCCATGATGACAACACTGTCACTAGTTGTTAATTCTTTAGATATTGAGTAACAACTTGATAGAACTTCTTCAGCGGGGGCGCCAGGTTTTCTCATCCCTGTTATTTTATAATCCTTTAGAATAAATTTAGATTTGTTACGTATTAACAATTCAACGATGCCTTCACCTTGATTATCTGACAACAGTATGATACTTCCGCTTTCTTGCTTGGGTTTTGGGACATTCGTAACTTGTTTCACTGTATCAGATATAGTTTTTGTTTGGCTAAGTGCTATTGTACCCTTCGGTGTAGGGTCAATGCTGGTGATTTTCAATTGCTCATCTACAATGTATGGTTTTTCAAGATTCTTGTTTCCGATACAAGAATTCTTAACAGCTACTTTTGGTGTTTGGAAGTTAAGATCCAAGTCCAATTTTCTAACGGAGAGATTCACTCGATTGATATGTTTGTTGTTACTTTTGGGGTGACATGACAAACAAGAATGCTTAGCTGAACTGAGACTTGAAATGTACATGTTTTTAAACTGTTTGGTTCGTTGTTTCTCATCATCAAGTTTCTGCTTAAGCGAGTTATTTTCTTCATTTAAGGTCTGTATTTCTAACTGCGCACTCAATAATTGCTCGTTCAGGTTATCAATCATGTTTTGTACTTCTATAGATTCTTCACTTCTTAGGTGCGTGGATAAATCTATCATACTTTTCGTACTTCGACTGGACTCTAGGCTATCCAGGGATTCTACCGAAAGAGAACGGTAATTGTTTTTTTTTCGAATTGTAATGTTAATATTACTCATGTTTTTTTATTTTGTTTTAAGTTAATATTTATAAGCTCCAAAATTCACAAAAAGTCTTTTTCCTGACCTGGTTGCGAACACGCGACCTCTTGCTTTGCAGTCGATGCGTACAACCACTACGTCAGCAATACACTTACTTTTGTGTTGAAATATAGGTACAGTTTTTACTAGAATGTTTTGATATAACGGGTGGCAATTTTGAATACGATGCAAAAGTTCATTCACCTTCACTTTTTTAATTTTGAATAAAAATAACGTTTACTGTTTTTGTGTTTGGATCAAATATTGTTTTTATTGTTTACTGCTTCACCATATAGTTTTAATTATGATATTTTAGACCACAGGGGTTTATAATGTAATGTAGTTTTATTCACACTATTAAAATTTTGTCGTCATTATGAAAGTTTGAATTCGATAGCGTCTATATTTATTATTCACTTTTCTGCAACACTTCACTGTTATATTGTGTCACAATCATTAAACGTTAATTATTTTACTTATTACACTTCAAATGTCTCAGAAATGAACAAAAATAAACTTATTACGATTT